TCATCTCGGTTTCCCTGAGTAACAATTCTGTGTCCCCAGTAACAATTCTTGTCCCTCTAAAATTCGTGTCTGCCCCGAGTAACAATTCTGTGCCCCGAGTAAAAATTCTTTTCCCGAGAAAACAATTCTGTGTCCCTGAGTAAAAATTTCGTGTCCCTCAGTAACAATTCTGTGTCCCTCAAAAACAATTCTGGTTTTTGAAGTAAAATTTTGACCCAAAACCCCTGAGTAACAATTCTGGTCCCAAAGTAACATTCTGTGTCCCTAAAGTCTCTGGGGCCCTAAATCTGTCCCTAATCACAAGGTCTGTCTCTCTTGAATGACCGGGGGCTAATGGAAATTCTAAGAGGCCGCGATTTAAGCCCACCTTTAAACCAGTGCTGGGGGCTGGCTGCGATTGGCTAATGCGATCACATGTCTGAATAAATGCTTTATGGGTAGGCCCCTTGTCTGCGCGCCTTCCCAGAGATCCCCGCTCCGTCGCCAACATGTCGCCGCCATTTTTGGGAAAATTTTGATTCGTGCATCCGAAGTTGGCTAATTTTCGGTTTCGGCGCGAATCGAATTTTCCCAATATTAAAAACGAATTAAACTTCGCCATGTTCGACCCGCTCATCTCAAAATGATTACCATTCTCAGGCTAAAGCCCTTTAAAAGATGTTTTGTAAAAAAAGGGGTTCAGTGAATACCCCTGGATAATACTCTAAAAACTGGGGCGGTCCTGATAGGGCCCCAAATCTGATGACACAAGAAAACCCCAAACTTCACGGGTCGTCCTTTCATAACAACCTATTCCATTACAATATAGAGCTAAATAAGCGGGATTCTATTAACCACTTCTCTCTCCCGTACGAATCAAGGGCGAATGGAGGCTGGGAAAACCTTCTCAGATTTCCGGGTGGATGCCCACTTCTGGCGTCCTCTATTATTTTTATTTATATTTGAAAAGAGTAATTTTTAGGTTACTCCGCACATTGCGCAGTCTTTTCACACTTGCATGAGCCGCGCAGCCGGTGCGATCTGTCAGGTGGCTGTGTACCTCGGACCACGGCCATATGACAAGATCTGCAGTAGTACCGGCCCACGTTGACGGTGCCATGTGACCGGCTGTGACCTATCACAGCAAGGTCACATGACCAGTTGTATACAATGAGGGGAAAAAATATGGGGGGGCTTCAATCATTGCCATCCATTGTATTACTAGTGCCTAGCTGTGAATGGTCACAGCGATCACATGGTCACATCTGTCATGTGATTAGCTGTGTGCCAAATCACAGCTAAGCACAAATAAAAAAGAAAAAAACGTCTGAATGAAACTCGATGTCAATTCACTTACACTGCTTGCTTTTATAGCAAAGTCATTCTTTGCTAATGAGCACAATTGTGTACAAAAAAAAATACTGATCACTTCCTCAAAGAAGTACAATGATACTATGGTAACAAATTATACTACTTTGGACATAGTGACCATACTGAAAAAAAATCTTAAAAAAAAAGAAAACTGTAATAAATTAAAAATAATAAAAAAAAGTATATATTGTATTTTTTTCATACTGTCACCAGTCAGTGTCCCTGATCACACGCCATGCCAGTTATATGATGATTACTCTGTACTGCACTGTGACAGGAAGTAAAAAAAAATAGTGAAAATAATCTGTTGCATTTTTCATTTTCCTGAATAATTTAATGCCAAAAAAATACAATTTCAAAAAACTCGCCATGCCTCTTATGAAGTACGTCAGACTGTTCTACTCTGCAAAAAGGGGTCATTTGGGGGATATCTGTACTGTCATGACATTTTTGGAGGGGATATTTGTACTGTCCTGACATTTGGAGGATATCTGTAACGTCCTGACATTTGGGGGTATATCTGTACCGTCCAAGACATTGGGGATATCTTGTACTGTCTGACATTTGGGGGGATATCTGTACCGTCCTGACATTTGGGGGATATCTGTACCGTCCTGACATTGGGGGGATATCTGTACCGTCTGACATTTGGGGGATATCTGTACCGTTCTGACATTTGGAGGGATATCTGTACCGTTCTGACATTTCGGGGATACCTGTACCGTCCTGACATTTGGGGGATATCGCTGTACCGTTCTGACAATTTGGGGGATATCTGTACCGTCCTGACATTTGGGCGATATCTGTAACTCTGTTTCTGTACATTGGGTGGATATCTGTACTGTTCTGACATTTGGGGGATATCCTGTAACTGATATCTGACATTTGTGGGGGATATTCTGTACTGTACTGACATTTGGGGGATATCTGTACCATCCTGACATTTGGGGGCGATATCTGTACTTGTTCTGACATTTGGAGGGGATATCTGTTACCGTCCTGACATTGTGGGGATATGCTGTACCTGTCCTGACATGTTGGGGGATATCTGTACCGTCACTGACATTTGGGAGATATCTGTACCGTCCTGACATTTGGGGGATATCTGTACCGTTCCTGACATTTGGGGGATATCTGTACCGTCCTGAACATTTGGGGATATCTGTACCGTCCCGACATTTGGGGGATATCTGTTACCGTCCCGACCATTTGGGGGATATCTGTAACCGTCCCGACATTTGGGGGATATCTGTACCGTCCCGACATTTGGGGGATATCTGTACCGTCCCGACATTTGGGGGATATCTGTACCATCCTGACATTTGGGGTGATATCTGTACTGTGCTGACATTTGGGGGATATCTGTACTGTTCTGACATTCTTTAGGATCTCAAGAAATACGATTGGCTGTCAGTACTTCAGATTGATCAATATTCAGATCAATACCATATGTTTATGAACTCTTAAACTTTCCTTACAAACTAAATAATCCATTCCTAATTTGGGATTATTTTCACCAAAGACATGTATCCCCCCCCCCCCTCGCAGAACACATCTCGGCCTAAATTTATGAAGAACAATTATTTATTTATGCAAACTTTTATAACAAACAAAGAAAAACTTGTGTTTTTTTCAAAATTTCCGGTCTTTTTTTGTTAATTTAGCAAAAAATAAAAAGCCCCAGCGTGTGATTAAATACCACCAAAAGAAAGCTCTATTTGTGTGAAGAAAATGATAAAATTTTAGTTTGAATGAGCAATTGGAGCGGTCATACAACACATTGTACCGCAAAGTGTGAGAGCGCTAAACCCTGAAAATTGCCTGGGCAGGAAGGGGAAAATTGCCCGGAAAATTGAAATGGTTAAGTAAAAATTGGGATATCCTGAAAACAGAGCCCGTGCTTGCCAACATTTACCTGGCAAACCAGAAATAATCTTCTGTAAGGCAATGGCCATTAGACACCGGTTGGCACCATAATACTGTGGACCCACCCACCAAGACGGTTTCATTGTTTTTGCTAACCTCCAGGGTGTCCATCCCTGTAATAGGTGTGTTCTATGTTACCTGTAATGGTATAAGGAAAGGCAGATTAGATTCCTTCACCTGGAGCAGCACAGGCAGATCAGATAACATGAAGAATTTAATATTTCCTGTAACACTAGACACGTGGTCTATATGCTTACGTGTCCCTGTGATAAGCAATACGTGGGCCGAACAACAAGGAGACTGAGAGACCCGCCTCCCGGAACATGTCTACAACATTAACAGCGGTGGTTTGAAAGAACATTCCTTGTCTGAACATTTCAGGCTATATCACAATAGAGACCCCTTCTTCTCTGAGATTTTGTGGGGATAGATATTGTCACCCCACACTGGAGAGGCACATAGAAAAAACGTGTGGTCTCGCAGTTAGTAAACTACGTGGATATATGAATTAGGCACTCTAATATCCAGTGGAGACATAACATCGAAGTGGATCTCAATTGTTTTATTGATAATAATCAATATATGTTTATCAAGATCCACATTTGTACTCATTTTGTATTCATTTTTATTCTTTTTTTTTGTTGGTTTATTTTTTGCTGGTTTCCAATGTACTTTTATTAGTTTATGTAGCATTTAAATTCTAAAAAAAACGGGTAGTTTTAGTGTAATTTTGATTTTTATACATATTTTTTATGCATAAATATATACATACACTTTTTAGGCTATACTATTCCGATATTTTATAACTTTCCTTATGTAGTTTTTATTGTTTAATATGATATTTTAATATGGACTACATATATTATGACTATATATTTCTGATTCATGCTTATCCAGGTTTTATTTTGCAATTTTACACTTTTATGGTGATTTAATTAGCATTTTGTAATTTATGTATTTTTTTATTGAGTATATATAAAGTGGTTTATTGAACGTCCTATTGCACCTTGGATTCCCCCCTTTTTTTATGACCTGGTGTGACAACTGGGTTTTTTTTAATAATTTTTTTAGGCATCTGAGAAGATTTGTATAAATCACCATTACAGTACATGAAATACTACGAGTGATATTCATTATTTGTTACTTACCTGAAGGTAATCACATTTTCAGTGTATACCATCCCTTTCATACAATGAAATTTACATTTATTTATTTCATTTTTATGTACTGTCTCAGTCACCAGTACTAATTGTATCAGCTGCCAGATCGGTCATTGCAGCTCAGATGATCTTTTGCCAATTTTCAGATGTCCTGCCTGTCAAAGGTTTGACTGTGTTCAGAGTAGATTTATTCTGCAGTCACTAAAAATCCATGGTAAAAAATGGCGCTGACATGCGCCCACAAGCAGCATGTGCACTGGCTGCACTTCGGCAAAATGGCGGCAACGCGGTGCGCATGCGTGTGGGACCGTATAAAAACCCGATTCTATAACTGTCAGGGCTTTTTTAAGTTGATTTTCCCTCTGAAGACGTGCGTTGCACGAAAGGCCTCAGGAGATCAACTAGCTGTGACGTCTAGCTCAGCCGCCGGAGCCACGAGGCTGGTCCGGCGGCCATCTTTGGAATGGTCAGTGTACCTGTCATCCCTTATATTTGATTACCGTTTCTGAATAAATGAAGTGATTTTAATACTACTACACTACTATTGGGCACAATCTTTATGGCTTCTTTATGGCAGCCTGGCAGAGCCTGTGAGGAGTACCAGTCTGAACAATACCCCAGAGGAAGGAGAATCCCTGTAAACAGAGGTGGCTGACCCTAAAGGAGACCTCTGGAGCTAAGCAGACATCTTCCAGCCGACCGCAGAGCTGCCCATTCCTAGACGGATGTTCTACAGATATAAGCATCACACATCATCACCATTAGTCCCTAAGGAGGAATTTTTATATGCGCATAATTCGATGCGCATCTGGTGAGCGCACAATCCTACCATTTTCAACAGCTAATGTCTACATTGGCGGATTTGTGTGATTATTCTTATGTTTTAGACTGATTCCACCCCTCTAGTTTTATTTCAAGCACTGCACTTTGTATTTTTTATTTTTTTCATCATAATTCTAAGGTGACCTGTGTAGTGTGGTGATGGCGCCTCCTCTGGAGGTTCATATTTCTAAGGTGTCCTGTGTAGTGTGGTGATAGGGCCTCCTATGCAGGTTCATGTTCTAAGGTGTCCTGTGCAGAGTGGTGATATAGCGCCTCCTCTGGAGGTTCATGTTCTAAGGTGTCCTGTGTAGTGTGGTGATAGGGCCTCCTCTGGAGGTTCATGTTCTAAGGTGTCCTGTGCAGTGTGGTGATAGCGCCTCCTCTGGAGGTTCATGTTCTAGGTGTCCTGTGCAGTGGTGGCGATAGCGCCTCCTCTGGAGGTTCATGTTCTAAGGTGTCCTGTGCAGTGTGGTGATAGGGCCTCCTATGGAGTTCATGTTCTAAGGTGTCCTGTGAAGTGTGGTGATAGGGCCTCCTTGGAGTTTCATGTTCTAAGGTGTCCTGTGTAGTGTGGTGATAGCGCCTCCTCTGGAGGTTCATGTTCTAAGGTGTCCTGTGTAGTGTGGTGATAGCGCCTCCTCTGGAGGTTCATGTTCTTGTCTAAGGTGTCCCTCTGGAGGTTCAGTGTGTGCAGTGATAGCGCCTCCTCTGGAGGTTCATGTTCAGGTGTCCTGTGCTGTGGTGATAGCGCCTCCTCTGGAGCAGGTGGTGGGCAACCTTTTCTTTTCAACTGAGCCAAATCGTCTCGCCAAAACCACGTTCTGGATTGAAATTTATTTTGAGAGCCACATTTTTAAAACTGAAAATACATAGGATGGTACACTGTTTTTAGTTTTCAATAAGTTTTTATTGAGAATATTCTGCATGCAAGTATCCACATAGGTCGGGACGATACAAATAACACAACTAAGAAAACAAAAACTTTAGAACGATATTATTTATCGATAACGTTAATTCCGTAAAATTTGCCTTACAATGTAGAGAAAATTACATCCTGACAATGACTGACAAAGTCACAACCACTAATGTGGTGAACATTGGCCTTGCATTTCCTTGGATAGTTTGAGTAAGTCAGGTTTGTATGTTGTTGTTTTTAATTTTAGGCACGATTCCAGGTTCTCATCGATGAGACGATTTCTCGATTTACTCTTGATAAGGTTCATGCTTGAAAATGATTGTTCGCATAAATATGTAGACCCGAACAAGGAAAGAACAGCAAACGCTAGCTTTTTTAGTTGATTATATGAGTCAGGAATACTATTCCAGGTGTTAAAAATCAACATATCTTCCTTCTCCAGGTCTTTCAAAGCAGACCACTTGTTCTGTGAACTAAGTTCACATTTGTTTTTTCTCCAATCTTTCTAAATCAGCACAAAGATGTTCAAATTTCGAGCTCCACAGTTCTTTGTTTTTTAAATCCAGCAATTGCATTTCAAAAGTTGCCAATGTCGAATTAAAGGGAGAAAAATTTAATTCCGTTACAGTGGCATCCAGAGGTTTTTTAACAAAGGCCAACGTCGCTTTGCTGTTTCTGAATTCCTGAAACCTCTTGAGAAAAGCTTCCCTCATATTTAAAAGTGCTGTTTTAAAATAGGTAATGTCAATATCAGAATTATTTTCTTGGCGATGTTTCAACAGGCTTGGAAAGTGAATCAAAGTTTCTCTGTCAAAATCTTGAGCAAAAACAGATAATTTGTTTTCAAACGAAATAACTTCTTCTAACATCGAAAAAATTGTGTTTCCTTTCCCCTGTAGTTTATGATTAAGCTGATTTAGATGGGAAGTAACATCCACCATGAAATACAGTTTTTGGGTCCACTGATCGTTTGTTAATTCTGGATAGTGAACACCCTTCTCGAGGAAAAATGCTTTGATTTCTGATAATAAGGAAGCAAAACGTTTTCAAAACGTTTCCTCTTGATAACCAACGTACCTTGTTATGCAGCAGAAGATCTGCGTACTCACTCTCAATTTCAACTAAAAATTCTTTAAAATTGGCGATGATGAAGAGCTTTAGCTACAATGGAGTTGATCATCTTAGTCACCAATTCCATAACTTTGCACATTTCTTCTGGAAATGTCTGCGCACAAAGTGCTTCTTGATTTATGATGCAATGGTATGTAAGTATCTCGTGACTCATTTTTTCTTTCATATAGCAACAAATCCATTTCTTACGCCGGTCATACTTTTTGCCCCGTCTGTTGCAATTGAGACGATTTTATCAAGTGGAATATGATATTTTTCAATGCAACCAATTACAGCATTTGCTATATCCTCTCCACGTGTTTGACCTTTCAGTGGCAATAATCCTAAAGTTCTTCTTTAGGACCTGTAGCTGACATAAATCTTACAAAAAGTGAAACTTGAGC